CAAAAGCTAGATGAATCTTTTCCTTGTCATTCTGCAGCGTCAGATATGAAACTGTGCATAACCATCTTTGCTAGCATCGGAGAAGTGATGCAGATGGGCACTCCTGAGCTATCAAAATATTTGTGCTTGATCCATCTTGGCATGTTGAATGTGCTGAGGTGTTTGAGATCTTCTTGCCACTTGATCCACTGCAGCTGGTAGTTTTGGGGAATGTGATCATCACAATTGAAGCTCAACCTACAGATGTTTTGCAGCATGAACTTGACAGGTAATGTACATGGTGTAAAAATCCAATGGGGTTATAGACTGAGTTCATCACAGAGAAGATACTCTGTCTTGTGAGTGTTTTTTTCCTGGACTGCCATCTTGAACGTGAAGGTGTGAGTTTCTGCACACCACTGCAATCCAAGAGTTCTGTTGACAGGTAGGTTGTCTCTGTCAGTGTCTTTTCACTTCCTTGGCTCTTTTTTACAAGTTGATTGATTCCAACACTGTACTGCTGTTGTTGATCCAGTTTACCAGCTGAAAGCGTTCAACTGGCAGGTAGCTGTCAGATCTTTCTCCAAGGCCAAGGCTTCTGCCTTGAAGACAGGCATTTTAAGCAGTCGAAGTTGTGTTTCATGGTGTCCGTCACATGTGCTGGTATGCTGCTTTTTTGTACTCTGCAGTTTCTAAGGGTAAAACTGGCACAGCTGGGTCACAATATTGAACCAAAAGATGAACAGTCATTGTGTATTCAGTGAGAGGTTGTGACAGGTGACCATTTGGCCACCACAGGAAGTGAAGAAAGTCATATCTCCTTTGCAGTTTGACTTGATGATACATTGCTTTTATATCAGGCATGAATGCAATAGGTTCTTGATGAAAGCTTGTGAGCAACTCCAAGGAAGGAATTTGTCAAATCAGGTCCTGGAGTAGTTGACTGTTAAGAGAGATCCTTTAAAACTTGCATCACAGTCAAAAACCACTGTAAAGTTTACCTTTTTTGGATGATGAACTCCATGATGTGGGATGTACCAGACTTTTCCTTCTTTTCATTCCATTCATGTTCAGGCACTTTGTCTGCATAGCCATTATCGATGACATCACTGAGAAAAGTGATATATTCTTTTTAAATTCAACATTTTTGTTCAATTTCCTTTTCAGGCAGAGGACCCTACGCTCAGCAACATGATGGTTATTGGGAATGATGACATTAGGCTTTGTGAAGGGCAATTTCAAGCAGTAATGTCTGTTGTCTAGCTCTGGTGAACTGTTCATAATGTCAATACACTTGAGATCCTGTGTGGACATTTTGCGTTTTGCTCTGAGTTTTTGTTGAAGTCATGGTTGTAGTGCTTTGTGAACAGTTGCTGTATGTGGGGAATGGATATATGGTTGGCTGTAATGGTGGGAGAGGTGATTCCACTTTTATTGTTTCCTTGTATGGGTGCATTGATGACACACCCAGTAGGGTTGAACAGCATAGGTTTACCATTGCTGTATACCACTCACATGGTTTCTGTACCTTTGGAACGTTGGTGTCCATGTCAGAATTTCCACTGAATTTAAATGTGGAAGCATTGAAGTCTTCCTGTATTGGAATATTTCATGAGTAACTGGCATTTTACCGTGTGTGTACACATGAGGCAATTTAAAGTAGGTGTCATTGTTGAGTGCAGGTACCTGCAATACTGAGTACATATGACTGTCAACCAGATTGTCTTGATTTATTGTTGTCAACAGGATTTTGGCATTTCTTCCTCTCACCTTTAGTTCCCTCATGAGTTGCTCAGAGTAAAGGGTGGCTGTAGTGCAGGATTAAGAAGGCAGGTTTAAGAATTTGGCTGCCTTTCATGGTGTTGATTTTACAGGCACAATTGCTAAGACATCATCTCGTGCTTTGGCCCTATATGGCCACATGTCTTAGGAGAAACATTATTGCTTCTTGAACTTTCTTTGTTCTTTTGATTTTTCCTTAAAATGAATGTGGAGGACAGTAGGATGTTTCATGTTACACAAGTTGCAGGACAAAATGGCGACAGTCTTTATCATGTGTGGAACAGAGACATCCATAACTAACACGTTTCTCCTTTTGAAAAGTCAAGTTTTCCCTGTGCAACATTTTTTCATCTTGGGAGACATCTCCAATATGTGACCCTCTTCCTACAGGAAACACAAAACATTATTTGACCTGTTAGGTGGGTTTGTCTCCTTTTGCAGTTGATTCTTTCTTCCAGAATTGACAGCTGCAACAGATGTAGCAAAACTGCTTCCTTTTCATTTAATGTATACTGTGACACTTTGTTTCCAGTTTTATACTTCTGTGGTGAGACAGATGTGCTTTGAATGTCTACAAAGAGTGGATGAGAGGCAATGGACATTTGTCATTCAATGAATTCACAATGTCACTGAAGATGGTTGATGATGATATTTGTGTTGCACCTCAAAGTCTGTTCCTCCATTTGTGTGTGAGTTTATATGGTAGTTTCAGGATAACAGCACCCATGTTTGATGGCATGTTCATTGAATTGATATCTCCATTGCATTACAACATGTAAAAGTTTGCAAAGCCTTGATGTATTCTGATTTTACAGGCAACCATTGAAAGGCTCTCTTCATGTATGCATTTGCAATGTTTGCTTATTTCAAATCTTTTGTGTGACAGTGTTTTTGCTCTTTGATAACATCTGTCAGGTGGTGTTTGCTGAAGTTCTTGAGGTTGTCTGTTAATAAAGTGCTCCAAAAATATAAGCAATCTCCAGTGTTACCAGTGTTTGGTTCTACCTGATTTTCAAAAGTGTGATGAATGAATTGTATTTGAGAGGGTATCTATGAAAAGTTGGTATATTACTTGGAGGTAATGATAATGAACACTGTTGTTTTGTAGCAGAGGTGTTATGTCATTTTGATGTTGGATGATGGTGAGAAGGTTGCTTTGGTCCATATTAGTTTGCACAAAACGAGAACATTGGAAGGGTTTCTGTGTTGAATAAATGTTGGGTTTTTGTGAATGGTGAGTAGTATGATTTATTTGCTAAGGTCCTTGATACAAGTTTGGTTTGTGGTTTTGAATGTTTGATTTTGATACAGTTTGTGAAATGTTTTACTTAGTTTGTGTCCACATTGACATGTCATATCTGATGCCTATTGTAGATGGATGAAATGCTGAGACAAGAAGAGCAGATGTTTCAGACTCTGCTTTGAGACATGCAGAGGTGGATGATGAACTTGAAGACCTGTGGATGGAGCGGGAGCTGATAAGTATGTTTTATGACCAACATTTGAGATGCTGTGACCTGGATAAGTATCATGAATGACCAGTGTTTCTAGCAGCATAATCATGAAACACAGGTATAGTTTTAAAGCATTGTTATTTGATTAATAATTGTCATGATCCCAGCATGTTTGGATTGTTTGTTTTTATCAAGCAACCAGTTTTGTATTTGTTGCTGTGTTTTTTATTATTGTGCATTTGACTTTCAAACCAGTCATTTTGTTTTGACATTTCATCCTCAGGTATTAGTGATTTTTGTGATTTCTGCAGCTCTGTTGCTTCAACACTCAGTTTGAAAATCATTTCATACTTAACCTGCCCTTCAGAAACAGTTTTGTTTTACAGGATGAGTTGTTACATTTTCTTTATTAATTTGTGAAGTTTATTGATGTTGTAATTTATTTGTTTTGACATTATTTTTGTTGGTTATCCTTTTATGGTAAGTTTCACTGGTGTTTTTGTCACTCATTTTGATTACTCTTGTAAACAGGTGAAGTTTTATCAAGAATTGCAGTAGGATTTTTTCCACAGATTGTAACAATTTTAAATTGATTGTTCAGTGAATTTTGGGCATTTTTGTCCAGGCTGTGTGTTGTTGGCGTCTTGTTGAGTGGATACATTTAACAGTCAATAGCTATGGTTCAATAACTGTGTGGTTTACACTAATTACCTATCCCATTCACCTGTGTGTACCCTTTCTACATATGTCTGTAATTATCAAGTATGTGCAGGTGACGTTTGCAGCAGAAAGTGTCCACACAAGCAACCACAGACACAAACTATGACACACATGAAATTGGTGATAGTAGAGTGTACTTTTGAATGGAGAATTAACTTGTTTATCTTTTTTGTTGTAGACTAAATGTAAAATAGTGGATGTTATTGATTAAACAGTGGTGGACCACAAGGTAGTTTAAGAGCATGTATGTGTTCTCATCATTCACTCTGCATGCTGACTGATCCACCATCCTGTTTGAAGTGAAAACTTTTAAAGAATTAGCTGCAGCTTATTACCTCTCAAACATTATTATTGTGATAGAAGTGAAAGTCATGTCTGTATTACTAGAGAGAATGTTCTCCAAGTCAGAGTGTTCATTCATGTGGAAAAGATCCAGTTCCTTGCAGTGTGTTTTCAGGGTGTTTATATTTATGACAATGTGACGCTGAAGAAGGTGTAGTTTAATATCTGTAGTGAAGTCACAACATGACTCATGGGATATTTAGTGCAGACAAAACAGGGAACACCACAAAGGTTTTGAAATAGTATGACATGTAGAATAAGAAATGACTAAATGTTACATGAGTGTGTGTGTGGACAGTGTATAATAAATCATATACAGTATATATAAATGTTACAGTATGTAGTGTTTCCATCAGTGTGCATTGAGTTGATGATCATCAAATGTTCCTCTGTTAATGATCAAGAAGGTTAAACATGCATTGTGAGTTAGGAGTAAAAATCAGAGTTTATATTTGAAAGAAATCATGATTAGACATTTATCCTGAAAGAAATGTGTTGGTGAGGCTGAGAGAGAGCCAGAGGTCAGAGAGTCCATTAGTATCAGGTGTAGCTGATCCTGATGACGAGTCTCCAGCCAGGCCACGAGTCCTGCAGTGATGACACAAATGGAGAACAGCAGTGAGGCAAACAGTTCCCGAGATTGTTGTCTACTGTGAAAGATGTGTTCATTTTCTTGTAATGTGAAATATTCAAATGTGTGGTTTGTGTTTTTACTTACGTCAGTCCGTGCAGGAAACAGGAAGTTTTTGTTGACCAGTTCATGGACCAGAATGCTGGCTGAGGTTAGTGAGGTATTGTCATGATATTGAAATTTATAAATGAATATGTTAGGCATGAAGAAGTTGAAATATGAGTTTGAGTAGTGATTTAAAAATAGTTGTTTAGTTGGATTAATAATAAAGATGTGTGTTTAAATTGTTTTAGTGAAATGTTTTAAAGTTACAGGAGTGGTTGATGTTATTAAATTTTGTTTTCACAGATCACTGGACTGACTTGTAGCTGAGGAATATTACTTGTTGGAAAAATAACAGTCACCAATTTATTGTTGAAACATTGTGATGGAAGATTATAAAGTAATTGTAGTAGGTGAAAATGTATTTTTGAATTTGTGCCTTTAGTTGTTGTAGCTTCCCAGTAAAAACAGTGTTTTGTTTAAACATGAGATTGTGTAAGGCATGCATGTTATTGTTCAAATGTTGAATAGTTTCTGTATGATACTTCTCCCATCACCATATCTAGGGGCTTCCAAGGAGTCACCAGGAGAGAGCCAGTGTTTCTAATGAGCTTGTGAAGCTAAGTTGTTGATGGGAAGTAAATTTGTCATGTGAGTTGTTAGTGTTTGTGGTGTGAATGGGGAGCAGCTTACTAATAGGTAAATAAGGTAAGTAAGTTTTGTTGGTTTGGTAAAGTGTTGTGATGGATAGGTGTTTGTAATATAGTGAAGAGGAAGGTGTTCTTTGTAAAGTGTATTGAGGTAATAGTTGTTTTGAGTTAATGCTACACCAATAAAAATGGATTGATTGACTTAGTGCATGGCTTGCCATTAGGGGTGTAAAGGTGCATGTACTTGGATTGGACTGTTTGGGTACAGGGTCTTTGATATGGTTTGCATGTGGACTGATTGAAGTATGTGTGGAACAAAAGTGCTTTAATCTGTTTTCCACATGGACTGGAAAGTGGAAGTATACTCAGTGTGAAGGAAGGCTGTGGCTGCTGGTATGGGACACAAGTTTTAGTTAGTAAGTTGTAAAAAAGTTTAAATAAAGTGTGGAGATTGGTAGTTGCTTGAGTCCTGTTGGTTTGGATTGTTGCTTATAAGTAGGATGGAGTTATTTTGAGGGACTTAATTTCAAGATTGGTTTTGTTTTTCAGTGATGATCGTGCTGCTGTGTGGGAGTGTAATCTGCAGAATGATAGAATGAATGCTGTTCATGCACAATAGACAGGTTTTTGCTCGTAATTGAGAATGGGACAAAGGTATAACAAATGCCATTGAAGTTGTTATATTGAGAGAGGGAAATATTAATAGTTCTGTGATGAAAGTATGCTGTCAGATATGTGGTTAGGTTTATTTTGTGGTGCAAGGGCATTGGAAAGAGATATTTTTACATGTAGGTTAAATCAATTTAATTCATATATTGTGTTAATTGCAGAATGTTTTGGTTGTGAAGGATGTAGTTTAAGTTGATTTGGTATAATGTTTAATTGAAAATGTTATTAAAAATTAATTTGAGGAGGTTTATCAGTGTGAAGTGTTGATGATGCATTTAGGTAAATGTGTTAAAGGGAACTTGTAAATGTTCTGAATAAAGAAAAAAGTGTTGCAGCAGGTGAGTTTGCTGTATTGAAGTGAAGATTGAAAAGTTGGAAGTGTATGCAAGTGACATTTTTGTGTACTGTTTCAGTCATAGTTGGCATGGTTGAGCAAAGAAGTCATATTTAGAGGTTATGTTTGGAAAATGGATGTATGAAGGGGTGGAGTTGGACACTAAGGATGTAAGTTGTGGTTTTTGATGTTGTGTTATGTGAGGATTTCATGTAAAATTAGTCTGTCATTGTTGAATTTGAAGTTAGGGAGAGTTTTATCAAGTATGAAGTGTACTAAAAGAAGGAGTGATGTTCTTGTGCAGGCTGCAGGAAAGTGTTTCATTTGATTGAGTCATCATCATGTCCTGTGGCTGAAAGTATGGCTAACAGCTGTGATGTGCTGATTGTGAAAGATGATATGGGGTAGAATGGAGTTGGTGGACACTAACATGAGAGCTGAAATGAAGTTTGTATGTATGGAGTGTAAAAGTGGTACTGAGTAGCATGTGGTAAAAGTTAATGAGCATGGGAAACAATTGAAGAGTTTGAAGAGATGGCAAGCGACCAGCTCTGGTCAGTTGCTGGTATTGTAAAGATGTTGAAGGTGGAGGTTGAGTGTTTGACAGAGAAATGTGAGGATTTAGAGGGGAGATGGAGGTGGAATAACATTAGTGGGATAGTGGGAATTGAAATTCAGAATAAAGAATTTATTGGGCAATTGTTGGAGGATGTGCTTAACCTGGATGAGATGATTGATAGATAGTAGAGTCAGGAAGGCGGTTAGTTCTATAATCAGTGGAGTAGTGTTAATATTTTGTAGTTGGAACTGCAAAGGTGTAAAGTAGTGAATGAAATGTAGTAAAGTACTTGGACATTTTCAAGATTTAGGAGTTGATATTGATTTTCTCTAAGAAATATATTTTAAGTGATGTGACCATATCAGATTTGTATTGATTTTGTTCTAGACATTAAGTAATTAAGTGGGAAGTTGTCCATGGTACAGATTTCATTAAAGTGAGATTATTGACATGTGTCATGTAGTGAGATGTTATGGTACTGGTATTGTTTTGTTACATTTTGGAGAGAAAAGTGACAACCATTTGTAATGTTGTGTGGCATAAAAGTTTGTTTTGACTTACAGGTTGTAAATATAATACAGATGTGGTAGCATTTGTGATATTTGTAGGAAGAGGAAACATTTTGTTGTGTTGGAAATTCCAATGTGGTCCATGTCAGTCTGTGTGTCTGAGTGATGTTGTGTACTGTATTAAAATGGACAAGAGTCAGGTGGTCAGAATATAGGGAAAGAGTTTGTTGAAGAGAAGTAGAGTCAGGATAGTGGTGGTAGAGTTCATTGAGGGAAATATGAATATCAATATGTGTTGTGACAGTGAAGCAGAGGAGTATGTGAGTGTAGGTTAAAGAGATGTCCATAAAGACAACTGGCTTGATAAAGAAGTTGAGGGTATTGGTGAAGAAGTTTTTGAGATGTAGATGTCATTGAGCATGTGTGGGGCATGAAGTGGAATGTGGAGGGTGGAAGGTTTGTAATATCAACCAGCTGGATGATGGTGGAGTGGAGGAGGAAGTTGTGGTGAAGATGATGGGCAATAGGAATATATTATGATTAGTGTATTGTAGAAGTTTGTGGTGTCCAGTGCTATGATGTGGGGTTGCTGCAGTTGCTGAGGTGTAGGTTCATGAATATTATGTGGTATGAGATTGAGGTGAGTTTTTGTTACATATGTTGAATCAGCAGGTTATTGAATGAATGGATTTGTTGTTCTGTGATTGTTATTGGATGTTAGAATATGAGGATGACAGGATTGTTTGGGCTGAAATTGTGAAAGAGTGGTTAAGGTAGTATGAGACATTGTTTTTTGTATGGATTGGTGAAGATAGAGTTCAGAATTGAAAGTCATTGAGAATATTTGAGATGTGGTGTAGAAGAGTTTGTGCAGTGGATGGAGTTTGGTATGATATATGGAAGATTTTGTTGAAACATTAATCCAACTGTGGATGGAAATAAGTGTGATATTGGAGAAGGTTATGGATATGATTTTGTGCTGTACTGAAAGGTAAAGGTGGTTGAATGAAGTAGTAGGTTGTGTGATGTTTGTTTTTGGTTAGGGCAGGATGTTGATGTTGTATATGATGTTTTGTGAGAGTAGTTCGTGATTTGTTGTGTAATGTGTGTTAGTATAGTGAACTTAGTATTTTAATATGCAGGGTGTGTTGTTACAGAGTGTATGATAGATTTTGTGAGTTGATTGTGTTTGGTATTGTAATTGAAGTTATATTATGAAGTTGTGGTGAACACATGTAGTGATGAAAGAATAGCAATTAGTGGTTTAAGTGTAGTGTATGACTTTTGTTTTGTTGTTTAGTTAGCTTACAGAATTAGGTTGATGTGATGATGAATATGTGAGGAATGAAAGCAAAATAGTTGAACGCTAAAAGTAAGAATTAGCAGTGCAGGTTAGGATGAGGGGTAAGGCACATGAGTGTTGTAGTTTGTTGAAGAAGGATGAGGCAATACAAAAGTGTTTCAGGTTTATTGATTCCAACAGGTTTTCAGATTAAGTGAGAATTTACAAGTGTTGATTTGATGTGAAGTGCAGGAAATGAGGAGATTAGCTTTAGCTGGAATGAGATGAGTAACATGAGGTTTGTGTACATGATATAGTCTGTTGGATTCTCCAATGTGCACATGGACTTTCTTCAAAGGCGCTAACATATATAGCAATATTAGCAGTGGTGAAAATATGTGGGATGTAGAATTATTAGGAATACATGTTTTGTTCAGTTAGGTTACATCTTTCAGTTAATAGAAAGTTAGGGATGAATACTGAAATATTTGAATTAGAAAAGTAAGAGTCTATGGGTT